GAAACTATTTTAATGAGAAGAACCTATAGAATGATCCCTCTTGATTCAAAACTAAGAGAAGAGTTGATAAGACTCCCTGATATCGTAAGCTAAAAGGCGAAATAAAGGATTCAAATGTTATCAGTTGGTCCCGACTATTGATGATCAAATGGTAGATGGTATATTCACTTTCTTATTCATTATTACATACGATGAGTGTTGCTAAAACCAAATATTTGTAGGGGACCCTAATTTGCCGAATAGATCTCATTCAATTAATGAACCCCAATATAACTGATCAGCCAGAGGTTAGTTTATATTTAGTTCCGAAAATTATTGTCATTCCTTTTTATTGAGTTATACTAGTCACAATGAGTTCATTGATTTTGACACTACTTTTCATTTCGAAAGAATAATTGGTTGAAACAAAGTCGTATGCGGATGTCACCAGGTACCAAATGCGGATTAGCTTGGGGAAGTGAAAACTGTTGGATTGTGCAAAGAAGTCCTCTGCTCACAGTTCTAAGGCTCTGACGAACCCATGCTCAGCTTTTGTCTGTACCGCAATTAACACATCGTCAGATCGAGAAACCATCATATACGAAAAAACGTACCCAATACGCTAAGACTATCTCGTACAATTTTCACTCCGTGGCAATTAATCCGAATTTGCTTTCCAATGAGACCAATTCACGCATATCCTCCAACCGGCTCTATCTTTACAATGAAAAGTAGTGTCGCAATAATTCATTAAGACAGTCTTCGAAACCCGACTTTTTTCATGTTATAATTTCAGCTCACCGATTAATGATACGCTCATTCAGGCTGGAAAGTAGTTTCGTCCTCGTTTACGGTTCATTAACAAAAAGCAGGATCCGAATCCAACCTATGAGAAACGTGGAATGGCGGACACGGAATAGTTGAGGTGCCTTTTATGAAAGCCTGAGATGGCTGACATATTTTTCCTATATGCTATCTTCCAAAAAGTTGCTTCACACACGCTGAACTGCAGGTGCGCTGGCAACTATTGAGGGATTAAAAACAGATCCGTTGCATCAAACAGCGAGCCAGCTTTTGGTCATTATGCTCAGATGCCCTAGGCATGCGACGTTAAAGAGCCAGACAGGCCTCGCTCAACTTCCTTTCTTGAGTAAGTAGGCCTCGAAACAATCATGTGAACATGAATACGAATCGCGACAAGCTATCAGCACGCCACATTGCCACGAGTGATCATGGGTCAAAGGGCAGATGGGAAAGCCAGGCCTCTTTAATATTTCATTTCTATAGTAGGATTGTCGATAGAATAAAATAACATTTATTATAGTAGTCTATCCCACTTATATTCGTAATAAGTAGGTTTCTAACATTTATAATCGGCTTCGAATCCAAATGTGGGGGCATATGAGACAGCGGTGAAGTCAAAACTGCATTCTAATCCAGCCGGAATGAGAGCACCTATTGGCAGATAAGTCTATATGAAATTCAATGAAAATATTAGGCCTACACCTTATTGTATGAAAAATCAATTATCATTCTTTCATACTCTTGTGTGACCCATTGTGACAGGAAATCTAATTCATGAATAAAAACTCGAGCCAATGGAGGTCGCTTACAATGATGTATGGACGAACAGTCGAAGTTTCTACATTCGAAATTTGTTACTATCCTAACTGTAACCTAATTTAAGGAAATTCTTGAGAGTAGTAAAGCTAATGTCATCGGGGTAGTGGGACGGGAAGCCGAGGATGTCTTCGCGCAATCGAACAGTTTTCGCTCAACGGTAATCCTCCTTCGGTTTTCCATGAGACCATTTCACGAATTCGTTTCGACTAACTTCTCCTTCGAAATAGAAAGTCATGTTACAACAGGATAGATGGTGCTAAAAGATAGGCGAAATATAAATGACGAGCGGAACGCACAATGCTTCTTGTCTCTGTGCTTTCTAGACTGAACCGCCCCCAAAATGGATCGGCTGGTAGGAACATGAGCCAGCTTTATGTGTTTACACTGAAAAATGAGGTTTTAAATCTGTTATTATTTAAGGCTTACTAATGGGTTCAAAGCCCCTCTGCCTTATTGTTAAATGAAATGGTATAGTGAGGACTCCTATTTATTTATATGAGAGAAATTCAACTGTTATTTATTACATCAAGTTAAGCAAACTCGTCTTAGTTTAACATTGTTTTCACAACTTGATCGAAACGACAATGAGACCTAGGGGAACATGGCCGTCGAGTGTCAAGTCAAAAATCTGACGATGGAAATTTTTATGACTTGGTATGCTGCACAAGGTCACCATGTCATACCGACCAAGTTGCGCAAACGAGTTTGATCCAAGGACTGAAATTTGAATTTAATATAAGTAAATGAAGATATGGCTTGATGATTCCACTTCACTCTACACTAAAATAAAGGGGTTTCGATTCTATTAGTAGGCCTTGAATTAATATTATTTTTAAAACTTCTTATTTTCAAATACTCACATAAAGCTATGCATGTTCCACATAGTCTTCATTTTGTCCCGACCAAGTTGTGAAAACGAATTTAAGCCAAAGTTATGTAGCTAAAGGAGACTGCGACCAAACTTAAGATCACATTATCTTGGTCATGATCCAAGCGAACTAGGCTGCCTCAAGTTCTTATTCAACTTTTAGTGCTGATTAATATTAATGTCGAGTACCAACTTATCCAATCATTCCTCTTTAATACATTTAAATGTCGTTGACTATGGGAAAATTTCCTTTCTGCCCACAATGCATGGCTGGTACATCTCTCTCTTCTCTTGAAACTATTAAACTCTCACTGTGGATATTAAAATGGTGTAGACCTTCATCTCAGAATGATCTTCTTCACTGCATAGACTCATTTGGCATGATTTTTGCAACATTTTCTTTTTTCAGAAAGCATTCTAGGATCATATCCTGTACAATATCTCCTGCCACCATTATCTCGTGTCTTTCTTTCGTTGATTGAGTCCATACCCAGTTATTTAGGAACATTTAAGCAGGACAGTGAATAGGCGATTTGACGAGGCGTAGTCAAACCTAGAACTGCCCAAAAAATGAGGCCTGGAAAACGACTGGAAAGGACTCTTTTCAACGGTTTGATGCTAGAAAACATTCCAAAAATGTCAGAGCCAGTATTAGAGGATGCTAGCTTCAAAGTCTGAATGCTAAAACGTAAAAGCTGGGAGAAAAAATGCAATCGTCTCAAATGATATATATTGAATTTGGGGGGTTTTCCGTTTGATTGTAATATTTATCATAAGTATTTAGTGTATCATTGGTTTGTAGTAATGTCTTATTTTTATGCAAAAAAAACTGGTTTACGAAGAACCCCTCCTAGGCAATCCCCCTGGCTTCAGGTGAACCCAACTTACGAATCTCTTCCATCCGCCTCTTCAGACAAAATGAAAGGTACTGTAAATGTTTTATTTCCGTTATGTATATTTAGTATGTTACCAAACGAATATGTACATTGGGAAGGCATTGACAGTCCTTATTCCAATAAACTATGCCCAAAGCCAGTTCACCAGAATTACTATACATATATGTTTGATTAAAGTGGTCTTATAAGTAAATTAATTAAGTGATTATTTATTTTAACTATAAGTTTCTTCATCGATAGATGTTCGAAAAACCTCACACATACATATGAAAAGGATCACCTTTTTATTTGTAAGGTGAATCGAACCCAGGGGATTCTTGGGTTGATCCATTCTTGGCAAGTTGGGTGCAGCCATTTGATGGGAGTACTTATGGTCCCCAATTGTTTTTTCAACAAGTGATCTTTTGAGGCTTGTGTAAACGCACCTTTCTTATCAAAAGATGTTCCGAGTATATCAGCCAAGTAAACGAATGGATGATGACACTTTACAAAGATCATCTAGCAACAAATATGGGGAAAGCTTTTGAATATTGTTCCTCGATTGAAACATGTAAATAAACCGAGAGCATGAATGTGAAAAAGTTCTAGCAAGGCTAGATTAACAGCGGAGTCATCTACAAACGGTATGAATGGGCCATCGGTTACGAAGACTTATATTTCTATTGTGCCCTTTTGTGTGCACCACAAATAGGATTCATATTATCTTCTTACTAGTGGCGATTTGTGGAGTTCTAGAAGGGTCAAGGGTTAATACATAAGAAAACAATGTGATAGCAATTTTCGTTACCAAAGCAAAGTGCACATATGCTATTTCGGCCTGGCCATAGCATTTTGGATGTGTGTCTTCACTTTGTGTGGTTACTTCACTCGAAGTCAATTGTACACTTGTCCTTCCAAAGAACCCCTGTTACTGGTCTTATGGGAAAGGTTATAACAATATGAGAGTCATAGATGCACGCATAAGCGCACACATATATATGCACAATAGGAGGGAATAGATCAAATTATATCCCAGAATGTATGTCGGTCAGGTATACTTTTGATATTTGAGAGCCTGCACTTGTACAGTTAATAAAAGCTGATTTTGAAAAATTAGCCACAAAAAATATGGAAGCTCTATGTCAGCATGACTGATTGATGATGCCATCAATCGCCTTCGACTAAATGCAATCATTAAACTACTTCCGATAGGAGCTTGAAACAATTCCAATATGCCATGTGGGAATCTGCAGCTGTATGATGTGGAGTTTACTATTTTGACGTTATATTTTATGTGTACCCCACAAATATTGCCATCTGGCTGGAGTCTGTCATCCTAAATCGTGTAAATATCCCGGCCCAATATATATTGGCTCCCCTTCTGCAGGAAAGGTGAAAAATTCAGTCATAACTATGTAAGTAGGCGAAGGCGAGATTAAACCGAATAAGACAGTTTACTCGCATAAATGGCACGTTCCATTTACATAATACTCGGACTCGAATCAGTGTAAATCCGTTATCTGTTTACGCTTGCCAATGTCTCTGGCTCGCCTTCATAGAAGGATTGCCGGGGGAGGTGATTGCCACTTGTGAATATGCGTTTGTGTATGAACACAAGAATGTGTGCTTGTATGTGTGTACCTTCTTAGTTGTGGATGGGTATCACGATGTCCGACGGAGAACGTGAGAAGTGCCCATGTGACCAACTGTTGTCTAGTGGAATGCAAAGAGGGGCCTGAGTGTACAGGACGTCTGTGCGCATTCAGCTAATGGTGGCGAGACATAATATTTTTCGTCCCTCATATCTTCTCAAGTTTGTTCCCTCCTTCTGGCCGGACCAGCAACTCTTCTTGCCCCTCTCCACTTGCTCCTCCTCCTCCTCCTCCCTCTTCTTCATCTTCTTCTTGTTCACCTCCTTCTTCTTCTGGACTTATTCGGCATGAGGCGTAGCAGCAGGATCACCGTCATCCGCTTTGCAAAAGCAATTATTATCCGCCTCGTTAGCGCTAGTGATGCCCACTTATGCTACCGAGACTGACAAAAACGGCTGATAAGGGCGGATTATTCTCAGGCGCCAGGCGACACGCTCGGCCTAATCCGCGGTCATGCCGCATTACAAGTGTCTCTTGTCTGCATCGTGTCATTAAGCGACTTCGGGGCAAGCAATACGGTCTAACAGGACGGCAGCTAGAAGCAACGGATTCACTTGTGAGATGACGATGACGAGTCTGTCGTGGGTTGAAAGTTTGCCTTGAAGGCGCAACAGCGCTTCAGGCTGAATCGAAAATGTATACTTCTTGACCATTGCTCGAGTGGTCGGAAGCGTCTCATGGACACAGACATGGGCAGCAGTTTCAGCTCGACTTACACTTTTGTCACTGTCGCTGCTGCCTTTGCATCAAATGTCGCTGTGACTGTGGCCAGCAAAGAAATGGTAACACTCAATTTTTGAAATGTTGTCATGTCGCCAGGGTGAACTCGATGAATGCACTCTGTCCGAAGTCATCTGCTTTTGTAGTTATGATCATTTTCAGCATCGGACCGTGGAAAGTACGTTTAGCAGACATCGTCAGTGAGCCTTATTTTCCCTAGCATTAAGCTACTACTCGTCAAATAGATAAGTAGAGTACATACTTTGGACAACTTTCCGCCGAATGATGCTGGTACCACACCTCCTTGCATAGTGGTAGCTGGACCCGCATGAGTGGATATTTAGGAGTTTCAATGAAAAATCAAGTCTTATTTTCAATTTACTTTCTTTGACATATCAGTAAGATGATCCGTCGTTTATAATAGGCCTAATCATCAGGCATAAAAACACTTTCAACTTCTAAGGCAGATACTTTACCCTCTTTGCCACACAGAGCAATTAATTGTCTCGTTAGCTGTTATCTCATTGGAATTTGGGAATTGCATTCGGGGATTTTGGTGAAGGCCTCCTCAACTTCTCGTCCATGATCACATTTCGTTAGTCTGGATGTGTCAGACATTGTAGATCCAAGAAATGTGAATTTATGAAAAGAGCACCAATACAATAGACTAGTTTTTCAAAAATAATCAAAGGATACAAAAATGTGGCCGATAAACTCAATCCTATTATAATCACGGAATGGGAATGGATCCTCAATGAAGATGTTATCTAACATTGGTTGATTTATGCCATACTTACTTGCCTATACCTATGGCATTTACCAGACATTGACATAGGCTTATCAGAGAAGGCAGGTCGAGGAAAGTTTTCATCATTCTATGCCTCTTTATAAGAAGCATTCAGGAAAGAAAATTACGCCACCAGCATACTTGGGAGTCCATAGAGTCGATGTCTATAATTACTGAGGAATAGGGCGCCTAACCTGGTCTTTTTGGTATTCACGATGCTTGACTTATAGAAGATATGATGTCTTTAGCTATCTCAGGGTCTCCATAGTAATGGGATCCACTCTTATCTATTCCTGTTAATGTTTGGCTATTTTGGCATCTGTCGATTGATCTAGGTGCATCCCGGTCTCTCGTATTTAGAGACGCCCTTTTAGACGAATTCCCATCTTTTATATGAGCAAGTGCTGGGTATGAAGTTCTAAATTGAGCCAGAGGAGAAGAGTAAATTACCATTTTTATGCCTTAACTAGAAAAAAAAGATGATAAATTGAGCATAGGAAGCGTTGAACTGCGGATCTCATTCGTAATTGCACTTATTATCATATTTAGTCCATTAAAGTAAGAGAATTAAAACATCAGGATCAAGAGTTAGACATTTTATCTGATAACAACAAGATGTGAGGAGTAATTGCAAGTTATTTTAAAACCCTATTAAATAAGATTATGGAAAAAACTAGTTGGGGGGGATAAGGCTAAATTCCAAATCCCTTGTGTCTATATTTTTAAATTAACTGAGGAGGTTATTCATAATTTCCCGCCATTCTACCTTTCATTTAAAAAGAAAATTTGATTGCAAGGGATTTATGAATTGGCCTCACTAAAGGTTATGTATTTATGTATGGAAACAGGTGTGACCGCATTCGCTTCCTTTTTATCAAGCAACTTTCCTCATCTGTATGCATGTAGGGTAAGCATAAGGTGAGCAACTAATTAATTGGATGCAAAATTAGGTATAATAAATATCTAGGTGTGCTGTCGGTCATCTTTAACTTTTTGTCTATTATATCGCATCGACGATGTCCGTCACATGGCAGACAAAAGATCGGCACAGGTTCATCAGGGTCGTAGGACTACTATATCTTACGATGAGACAAATTTAGCAATTCTTTCCAACCAACTTTTCCTTCAAAATGAAAATTCAATTTAGACTTAATCACTAGGGCATTCTTCAAAGTCTATATATATATTCGGCAAAATGTTTCCATACTTATAAGAAATCACGACTACCTGTTGGCTACAAGAAAAATGTTGCTTTTAAGGCAACCGAGTCCTCTCATAAATCAAAGTTATATTGTTAGTTTCAATGCGGCAGACATTAATTTAGAATTAAGATTAGAAATTGGCACAAATCCTGACTAAGCATAGTAAATTATTGTTAAATTTCCTGTTCTTTCTCTTCTCGTCTGTACTGCGGCTTAGATTACATCTAGAGCTTCCAAAAACCCTCAAGAGAATTCGAAGCAGGATCTTGAGCCTCGTGTCCACAGCACACATCATGTGAAGCCCAGAAGCCTAAAAATTCAAGCATGCATTTCTTCGCTTGTGCTTACATAGGCCAAGTGTCATCAGTGAAAAGCATATAGTTTTAAGGCAACGGAAGGTAGTACTATGGATACTTAAGAACACCGATTATAGTCTAAATATGTTGGATTCAAAGATCTCTGTAAATCGGGAATAGGACTCAGAGTTCGCTTATTTCACTCAAGAGCAGGCAAAAATTTGGAGATTATTAGATTGTAGATATGAAGGCCAAGATCGTGTCTTAGCCCTGTTATTTCTAATCGAAGGTAGGAGACCAAGATGGTGTGGCCTTTTGTGTGGTCGCAGTCTCCTTTCGTTGTATAGAGGTTGTTTGACCTTGTCCTCGCAACTTGGTCATAGTGGCAGGAAGACTTAGAGGAACGCACCTAGTCCGGAGTTTATTGTACGCATCATCATTTTCAAAGTCGGACTGTGAACGTGGTACATTCCCAAACGTTTCGCCGGCATCTTCAGTGAGTCTCGCCATTTTTAGCAGCATACAGCAACTCGTCAAAGAGACTAGTGAAGTTGTACCCAGGTCCGAATGACAGGGGGACCCAGCCATACGTA